CATGGAAGGACTCAACAGGTTCTCGACGGGAGAAAGTGACCTTGTCACCGCCGGGATGCACCGCAGCGCCTTCCTCCGGGCGGTCACTTTATGGTCATTTTCCCCTTAATGGCTGCAGTATTAGCGAACAAAGCAATCATTATTCCACCAATCAAACACCGGCGTTTATTTGGTCTGCCCATTATTATGCGGCCAATCGAGGGGCCGCCCGTGAATCTTCCGCCTTCATGCATCCTCGCCGTTGTCACGTTTACCGATGGACCACCGGGAAGGGTCAGAAATCGAGTGTTAACAAGTCATGATTCTATGTTACCTTTATTGGGGAAGTGTATGGACATGTCATTTGCATTACATTCTGCAATTAGGAACCACTATCTCTGGCTCTCCTATAAGAGCACATATCTGCATAGGGAAACAAATGACATGTATGTTATTTCTAAAATGGGTCAGAAATAGTGACTCCTTATTGCAAAATGTAATCCATTTGATGTAAGTATCAGGGCTACAAAGAACACTCGATCATCTTAGGGTTGCTTCAAATAGTTTAATGAAATAACCGGTAATGAGCCTTGGATTTGAAGTAATCAGCTGCCTCTCTTTTCGACCCTGACTTGTTCCCAGGGGCATCAGTAAAAGCCTGATGGATTCCCGGACTTTCACACGTATCCATATTGTCCTCGTATAGAGGTAATTTACATGATTTTCCATAAAAATTTCATGTGGGTAATGAACCGAAGAATATCGATGGCCAAAATGCGAGATCACATATCTTTAACGCGGTATTCCACAATTTCCGCTCCTATATTTTTCCTAAAAAAACGAGCATTGATTGAAATTTATACAGAATATTCTGCTAACTGAGAAGAAAGATAAGGCAATTTAAAAAAAAAATACGTTGGCTAGTTTTCCAAAGAAAGAAATGAAGTATGATAGGGAGTCTCCAGCTGTAAACGGAGATATGTGGTTTCGCTATTTGGCCATCGATATGAAGAGAGGTCATGCAAAAATGCAGATGCAGTGGAAATCCAATTTGATGAAATTATAACACAAGCGTCTAAATCACTCAGAACCTACTCATAGGAAAATGAATAATTACATTTAGACCATACCAACCATACCTTTATGTTGAACCAAACCCGATTGACGATCTTGTATACAAATAGATTTACAAGTTTATCCCAGTGTAATCTTTCAAAATGAGCTCTCACTTTAAGCTGACAGCAGTGCTTTCGCTCTTCCGCTGAGAAGGATTTCGTGTGGCATCAGTAATCAATACAGGATTGCACTTTGCGATTATTGCGCCTCTAAAAACGACCTGTCCAAGCACTAGACGAAGCTCGTATGAGTTTTACTTCCTGACATCATGCGATAGCCTCTCTCCTCCTCCCTTTCCTTTTGAAGAACAATCAAACGGCTTTATTTTTTTCGACATGGTAGCGTTTGAGATAAATCAGAGGCTGTGCCAGGGTTTATGTGTCTATTGCATTAATATCTTTGACTTTTACATCATTGTTTTAACCTCTCTAATTTTAAAAGTTTATAATTTGTCATATAGTCATTTAGGAGATTCATCTTGCAGGTATCCTCATTTTTCGGTCATTATCAGATGATTATAATCACTAAAAGAGCATGCAGTCTTCAAATGTCCAAATAATGGCTGGTTTTTTGTTACCACGTTGCATGAAGATGGAAATTACTATAGCAAACCGATACTGAGGGAAAATGGTACGATGAACCCTTTATTGTGTTTTGAACCCCATGATTTTACTCTCTGCGAGAAGCACGGATCAAGATAATTAGTCATTACTAAATTCCTGATCATTTATGGATTACTTTTTGCAATAAGAAACCACTATTTCTAGTTCTTCTTTAAAAACGCCTTTCTGCACAGGGAAACCAACGGCATATACTTAGTCTCTAAAATAAGCCAGAAATAGTGGTTCCCTACATGGCTGGATTCACCTACTTGCCACCCCCCTCTCATTCGTTTTGAAACTCGATAAAAACCATCAAGAGGAACGTGTCAGCGGGGGAGGGGTGCATGAGACATATTTACTCGTGTTAAACACATTTTTTGGAAAAGCCCTGTCAACACAACTAGCAAAAGTTCACGAAACTTTGCGCGAACGTTAAGTTCCGTAAACCTATCTCTGTGTGGACAAGGCCTCCCCTTAATAAGAAATGAACGAAAAAATTATGAAAGAACAAACATAAATGTAGATCAATGATTTTAACTTCTGCCGCTCCGCGCAGACCGCACCGTGTTTGGCGCAATGCGTGAAGTATTCCGACAGTCTTGTAGGCGCTATGCGTTTCACGCCGACCGCTGCTGAACGCACTGTGTTGGGCGCAACGCGTGAAGTATTCACGCAGTCTTGTAGGCGCTATGCGTTTCACGCTGACCGCACTGTGTTTGGCGCAATGCGTGAAGTATTCATGCATTATTGTAGGCGCTATCCGTTTCACGCTGACCGCAATGGCTGCACTGTGTTTGATGCAATGCGTGAAGTATTCGTGCAGTCTTGTAGGCGCTAACATGTGTTACTTGCCGATCGCCGCGCCGAGGGCTTCTCCTTTTCATCTCAAGTCCTCGTTATCATTTCTCTCTAAGTCGCGCCGTTCCAGGCCAAATTGCGTGTTTGGTCTCTCTCTTAACTCGACTTATTGAATGTGCTGTCTCTTGTATTACTAAGAGACGAAAAAATTAGAAATTACTAAACTCTCAGGAAATGAGAGATTTTGTCGCCTTTTCTCGTTTGTAATTTTGTTTTTATAAATCCGATTTTTTTTATACCTACACTTGCATAATGGTTTCGTGTACCAGTCACTTGATAAGCACTGCCAGAATAATAGAACTAGGCACTAGATTCCCTGGGATCATATATTACCAGGAATCCAGCGAGCACTAATATTATTTATTTCCTATTAGAGACTTCAAGCAACTTTTATAACACGTCCAGAGAGGCTAGTTTAATTTTAAGCTGAAGTACTCTGTTCTGTTTCCTTTTTCCTTCTTTTTAAATGTACTTAACATACGTAAATATACTCTAAAATGGTTGCATTCGGTTTCAGAAGCCTTTAATAATCAACTATCTTAAAAATTCGTGCTCTATATTAGTCTTTTTCCATTCTACTCGTAATTTCAAATATTTTGAAATCCTTTGCAATCAAAGAAAAAATGACCTAATCCCGATAGATTCAATGGCTAGTTGAATCTCTTCAGCACTTTTTTGCAACGAAGAATAATGCTACGCAGCCATGATCATCAGATGATTTGATTAAACCACCCCATCAAAAAATCCATTCCAATCAGTCATTTCTTCACAACAATCAAAAACAAAAGGAGAAAAAACTTGTGGTTTGACAACATAGTATTGTGTGCATCGTTCGATTAAATCGAGAAGAAACCGCAAACTTGTGCCTGCATTTTATTCAAAGTACAAAGGACACTTAAGAAAGGATTCCTGGCCCACTTTAGTCCCGAGGTAATTGAAAAGCTGCGTTATGAATGGCTTCTCTACGACCGGTGAGAAACTGAGATTCCTCGTGAAATTATTAGCTTGACCAAGATGGCTGGCTCTTAGGGAAGGATTCCTAGTTGGGTGGCCAACGAGTGCAAAATGTGTAGGGTCAGTACCGCGGGAAAATAAAATTTAATTAAAATCAGAATAAAACAAACCGAAACACGCATGTAAAACTTTTCAAATTAACATACTATTTTACAAGTGAAAAAAAGGTTAGTATAAAGGTTTCTTTTCAATTTTAAGGGGTTTTTTGAAAAGTTAAAAAATGCGTGTTTCGGTTTGTTTTATCCTTATATTAATTGTTATAATAAGACGCAAAATGCGCTTCACATTGAATGAAATGTGATTCTTAAAGGTCATACCACGTCTTCGTCGATCCAAATAATCAACTGCTGATTCGAAAATGGATTTTTTTGCACTTGAACGAATGCGGACGTATAGATGTAAAAATAAACCGTCTGCTAACATTGACCATTTAAATTTAAAATAATCGACGTTTATACCTCTCTTTCGATGTTAAAACAGTCGATTGCAAGGCAACCAGTACTAGCTTTCTGACAGTGCATCATTTCGTCGCTGGTTAATGTAACCACGTGCTTAATCAATACTAATATGAATCTAGTAGTATGGATTACATTTTGCAAAAAGGAAACACTAGTATTCCAATGATGCTAAGATTGTGCAACTTCATCCTTTGCAATAAAATTGCGGAAATCGTGAAAAACTATGAAAAGATGGTAATTTTTGTCTTAAATTCACAGTTTTTAGCGAGTAAAATAGAAACTATAAATGGATAATCGGGTTTTTCCTCCAAGACGAAAGAAGTTGCACAATTTAGCAACATTGCAATGCTAGTGGTTCCTTTTTTTTGCAAAATGCAATCCATCTATTCTACGGTAGTCTTTTGATACATTTTCGTAGGGTCACATGCTGATCGAGCTTTGCAAAAAGGAATCAAGTTTTTTCTTTCGAAAAAGAGGGGTCTGCTTGTTGTAAGGCTTCTTCTTCTTCTAATTAAAGTAAAGTCAAAGTAAAACACGCGTATTGGTACGTAAGTATTGGTACTAATACAAATGCTTTCAAAAGCTTTGTTGACCACGGGAAAACCGGTGCTTGTCCATTCGGTTTGACTTCAGATTTTGATTTAGATCCATCCTCAGAACTGAGAAAAAATACGAGAGTCACATTTCACCGCAAAATATCCAGTGGCGTGGCGTGCTTCGCGATACAACGATTGATCTGTCATTTAAACCTATGGAAAAGGTTCGATTAACATGGTGTTCGCAGCGAACACCTTAATAATCGATTCTTTAGCACGGATTCAAATGGGGAAATATCGATAATCGATCATTCACGCCACGTCACGGAAAATATCCCTGAAAATTCTCTATTTAAAAAAAAAAAATCTGTCCTTTTTTAAAAAAGCTCATTAGTATCATTATGAAACTAATAAAATCTATCATTCTCTGGTTTCAGAAAGAGGACGAGGTCTCGGTGAAGGATGCGCTGAACATGAGCTGGGAGGACGAGCCGGAGAGCTACACGGTGCTGGAAGTGGGCACACCGCCCGACTCGGGGATCCACGAGCCGTGCCCGCAGTTCTGCTGGGACTTCGACAGGAAGCGCAAAAAGCAGAAGAGGCCGCCAAACGCCAAGAGGGCCGACGACTCCGAGGTGGACAGCGACCTGGGCAGCGAGACGGAGGAGGACGGCTTGTACAGCACGGTTGCCGAGGACGCCAGGCGCAGCTCCCAGTATTGGTCCTTGTAAGTTTCCTGTTCCCTCAAGGAAAATCCCATCGAAAAAAATGAACTCTAAGGCTGCGTTCCAGCAAAGCTGCACCTAGATTTTAGGCAATAAGCCCGTCCTCGCTGAACTCGTCATTAATCCAAGCGTAGTTGGTACTAATCCTAAATCTGGGCGATGTTCTCAAACCTGCCTCTCTAATCAAGAGTAACATGAAAAGCAGAGAGGAAAACAACGGAGGCAAGGCTAAAAATACGATTTTAAAAATTTGTGACGTTTTGATTTAAAACTGAGTCATTTTCAGACGGAAAGTAAATTATGTATGTATGTATGAGCCGCTTTTACGGCGCGCTAGGGCGCTCTGCGACGCCTATTCTCCACAGGAATCTGTCATGGTAGAGATCCTCCGGAAGGTGGCATCTCTCCATCTCTTCATGGATGCCCTCTACCCACCGTTTGGTTGGACGCCCTCTCCGTCGCCTACCTGGGGGGACCCACTCCAACACCTTCTTCGGCAACCTGTTATCAGCCATTCTCTGCACATGCCCATACCATACCAATTGCTTGGTCATGATATCGTGCACAATCGTCCCCTCAACGCCCATTATCTCTCGGACACGTTCATTCCTGACACGTTCTCTCCTCGAGATTCCAGCCGATCTTCGCCAGAAATCCATCTCGTTCGCCTTGAGCATTTCTAAAGTAAATTAAACATTAAAAATATCGATTAAAAAAACCTGAGAAAACTTTTCTCTCTAGGGAGAATAGTTTTCTCTCCGGAGGAAATAGTTTTCTCTCCGGAGGAAATAGTTGTCTCTGGTTTTTTTCATCGAAATGTTTGAATTAATTAATTTATTTTCCGATTGAAAATGACTCAGTTTTGAGTCTAAACGTCTCTTGTTATTAATGCTGTATTATTACCCTTATTTACCGCCCCACCATGTTTCACCATGTTACCACTAACCCGAACTGCTGCATAAAAATGTGTATCCAATCAAGAGTGTTGATGCGTTCTTTCCGTGTGTGTAATAAGTAGCCTCTTCCACACATTATACAGAATGTACCTCGATACGGAGAAAATTACTCTCCGGCTACGTCCTAGAATGGAATCACCTAAAGTTTGGATATAGGTGCATGGTATCAGTCCTATTCTCTCAAAACTGTACGCTTTATCTGAGTAAAGCTGGTAGTCACCGAGAATCCCGGTAATACCGTTTGATCTATATCTCGAGGCATGAGCACTAAACCTTGCATGTACTCTGTGGAAACGAAAGAGGTCGTCTCCTTAGGGAAAACAGTGATGGAGCTTTCGAATGTTGCCTGATCTTCCCTGATAACATTTCGATACTCCGAAAAACAAGTTTTATGCAAGTCAGGAACTTTTGAACCTCTCTTCCCCTAATTACTTGAGATAATGCATAGATTCTATGCATAAATTCTATGCCATAGAAAGCCTCTTGTAAACATTTGTCTATACTTCTTTTCATATCTAAAATACCTGCAAACTTCAAAGAAAGATACTCATGAGGTTCCTCATAAATCATTATGTTGGAGGATACGTGGCAATATTCGAACGCTCATTCAGCGTAAGGTTGGCATAGCAGAGATGATCGCTAGTTTAGTAGTATCTGACCAAAAATGGAGGGAAATGTCAAATCTCACGCATGGCCTAATGTGAGACTAAAAACATTCATAGTTTGAAAACTTGAGAAGGAATAAAAAGGAGTGAAACACGCGATAGTGAAGTTTAACTTTTTATCTTAAAAACTAGGAAGGAGGAGTTTGCTTGATTCAATTTTGATTCGAATAACTTTCACAATTAATTCACTCTAACAACTGATCGTGGACATTCGGCCGTGATATACTGAATTTCCATCTGAAACATTTTATTATCAGTTCGAGCTTTAATTTTACGAGAGCAGACCCTCTTGCAAGATGATTTCTAAGAAACTGGGACACTTAAATAGCCAACTTTAGGAAGCGTACATATTTGTCAAAAGATGTACATCAAACTCCATCCAGGCTCAGCTTGTGCTACGACTTTCACCGCACCAATAAATTATCATTAGAATTTTATTTTCCTCGATTCTGATCGCTTTAAGTAATGCCCCGAGCCGTTTGTGCCATTAAAAATTGTCCCGTTCTCGACACCAGTCTTAAGGTGACACTTACAGTTGCGTTCTTGCCTTTTTCGTTTAGAGTACAATTAAAGCATGATTCTGAAGGAAAGTTTGATTTTTATGTATTGAGTATTCGGCTATCGCGGTTTGTGATTAGTACTGTGTCGTGAAGTTGACAAATAATTAAAGATTTAATGGATTATTTGTCCATTCAGCAATCTGCAGCCACTGTGTATTTAATCTACGTAATATCTTCATTTGGACGTATTTCTGTCAAACGGAACTATGTGCATTATTACGTGAGCCCTGTTATGCATGTATTCTTGGGGGTCTCAGGGCTCATGTCTTAATGCACATAGTTCCGTTTGATAAAAATACGTCCATTTCATCAATGAGCTTGCAGCATGTATATAAGAACCATTTTTTTCAAGTATATGTAGAAAGGATTTAATCCAAACCGGTTTTTTATGGCACCGTCAATACAGCTCACAGCCGAGAGAAATGCATATGAGTTGCTAATCTCTCTCGTCTCCTTGAATGATATTATTACCAAAATAGTCAGATTTTTACGTTGCGAATTCGTGGTTTTTCTCAATAAAAAAAAATCCTGAATAAAAACATTTCGTACATAACACCTGTTAACTGGGATTGTCAATACTTGCGGAGATTTTTCCATGTGCAAGGATGCAGAAAATGTGATTTACAGATATTACATATGGAAAGATAAGGATGGCCTAGAAACCTCTAATTATTAAACTTTTCATTCTATAATAATCTTTTACAATATTTGATCTGTAAACTCTAATTACTACGCACCTACTTCAAAAGTTAGTGGTTTTATCGTGATAAAATATTTAAAATTTGTTTTTCGGCTGGGCTTATTAAAAGTTGAAGAGATTATTAGTTTAATTAACGTAATTTCTCCTTTCTTTATATTTCATGGTTTTCTAAAATTTTAAGACAGCAAAACCGTTACTATGCAAACACATGTGTAAATTCAAAATGAATATTTATTAATGTTGAACAAATTTTTGGATTCTCGCGCCGCTTTTTCTGAAGATACTGCGAGACTTTAGAACGAAAAACTTGTTTGCATTCGTTTTTTCCGATTATACGCTGAAAGTGATTTTACCATTCTAAATATTCAATTTGAATTGTTCTTGGGAAAAGTTCGTCGTTGAAATGGTATACTAATGTGTCGATATCTTAAATATAAAGCCGATATTTGATCTTCTGCTAATTTTGCCGCGGAGTTGGCGATCGCAGACAGAGTTCATTGGGTCTAAATGTAAGACTGAAATTGACGGAAATGAATCGTTTTATCCTGCAAAAGTGCAAGTTAAATAAGCGGACAAGATGACTTTGCGGTCTGTTTTTCTCACCGCAACGAGTCCTTGTAATGCGATGACCGCAGGCCTGAAACAATCTATTTCCCAGGTTCCCAGGAGACCGTACCACAACAATTAGGTCACCCACCACTCTAGTATATATTTTAATTTTTTCGAATTTTCAAAATGATCAACTGCTGATAGACAAGAATATTCACTTCAAGTGGGCAACAATTAACCCTCTCTTACATAGATAATTTTTCTCATATAGAGCGTATATCTCAGTTGCAATGTTTCAAAAAGTTCATTCCTGATGTATACTTTGGAATGAATGTATAATGCTCACTTTTTCACACGTAAGTTTCAACGCTCTTACCTGAGAGATTAGAAACAATCGCATAAAAAGATTGAATTTTGCAAAAAGGAACCAGGAGAGCTGCAATGTTGCTAAGATTATGTAGCTTCTATTGTCTTGGCAGAAAAATCCGATTGTTTATAAACAGTCTCTACTTTACTCGATAAAACTGTAAATTTAGGACAAAAATTACCATATAAATTTCATATTTTGCAGGATTTCAATAGTTATATTGCAATGGATGAAGTTGCAAAAACTTAGCAACATTGCAATGCCCCTGGTTCTTTTTTGCGAAATGCAATCGAAAATATCTACAATATGCTCGAAATAAGGTTTCCACGTAGAACTCATTTTAATATTTTACCATCGACTTGAAAAATAAGTAAACCACTTTACTTAAGTTCAGCAAACATTGTGAAACAATGTCTAAAAGGTACAAATAGTAGCACTGAATATATGGTATTAGGAATGTAGCCGAGTGCTAGAAATAATGTAACATTTTTCTTTAAAAAACTCACTTTTTATTGACAAACTTTGACCGAAGCTTTTCGAAAGCCCTTTACTCAATCGAATTACACCGTTCCTGACTATTTTACAACGATTTCCAATGTTTAATGTGTGCGTTTTGATTTGCAGGCCCGGCGCTCTTGGAACGGTCCCTTTGTACGAGAACGCATCGAAGAAAAAGGCCACGAAGCACTTCTACGAGAACTACCGGCTCTCCTCATCCCTGAGCAGCTCGGACGAGGACGAGACAGCAACGGGCTCTAGCGGAGAGAACGAGGAACTCGAGCACATCTACGACTACGTAGAAAACGTCCACGAGGGAGGCAGTCCACTGGGCAAATCTTACCCGGTCAACGTCTTCTTGAGCCTCATTGAAGGGGCTGACAACACTATCAGCCCGGATCCGAACATATACGAGGTGCCCCCCGGCGCCATCTTGAATTTAGCCGGGTCGCCCCCCGACAACCACTCCATGCACAACATAACACCCCCTAACGGGTTCAAGGACACCCTCACCTGGGGTCGCCGCCACGAGTTAAGTTCCCTCCCGGTCGACGCTCTGTATTCGTCCGTCGTCAAGCCCAAGAGGAAGAAAGTGAAGAAAAGGCCCGGGCTCGACGTGCTTAAGAATCTCACCGCGCAAGAAGACGTCGAGGCACACACAGCGACACCTCCTGGTGAAGAAGTCAAAGAAAAGACAGAGACTACCAATGAGGTACAAGAGGTTGAGTCCTCAGAAGTGAACTCAAAGAACGAGTCCTTGCAACTGGATCCTAAGAAGGAAGAGGATGCGAAGGTGACTCCTGAGGTAGCCCTAGAGGAGCTGACTGAAGTTGCACTTCTTGCAAAAAGCTCAGTGACTAGCAACAACGAGAAGGTCAAAAAAGAAGAAGTAACGAGGGTAGCTGAAGTGAGGACGGAGTCTGAAGTGGAAAAGGCCACAAAAGAATTGAGAAATGCTGTAGGGAAAATCGGAAGGTCCAGGAGACAGAACGATGCTGCTGAATCCTCTGCTGAGGTCGAAAAAGTAACCACTGAGGTGACTGTTGCCGAGAATAAGGCTGCAAAACCAGGGTGCCGGGCGGAGAAAAAGACGAAAGAGAGACCGGCGAGAAAACCCAAGCCTGCGATCAAACCAGAAAGCACTGATAAAGAGGCACCGATGTTGCCAGAAGCTCCGGCAAAAACAGAAATTGGCAAGGCTGTAGACTCAAAACAGTCTTTCAAAGAAGAAAATGCAGAATTAAGCAGTGAAACACGAGGTGGGAAAAATGAAGCATCGGCTACTGATGAAAGTAAAATAAAGAAAAGTGAACCGCACAAAGAGGCTTTGATCAAATCAAAGGAAGTCACAGCCGAAAATCATGAAAGTTCAGAAAAGCAGAGTAAGTCACCGCAGAACAACATTAAATCAGATACTAACGAAAGGGCCAAGAAATCAGATGGATCCCAGGGCACTTTAAGACGGAAGAAAGGAAAAGCCAAACATGCACCGACCGTCAAGTCTCCTGAAGAGACAGCGTCTTCACCTGCGGGAGACTCGTGTCCCCCGGAGAGTAACTCAAAACCAACCTCCGTTAACAAGAAAAAACAGAATAAAAACTCCCGACCAGATCCTAAAGAAAAAATGAAAGGTTCGAAAGCTCCCGCTAAGAGTGACAGGCCCAAAGCTGAGGATTGTGACGCAGGGAGTCGACCTCCAATAATCCCGATTCTGAAGAAGGTTGTCAACGAAAAACAAACTCCAAGTCAAGAGAGATACCTCAAACGGCAGATAAGTCATTCTCCGTTGGAAACCATCGACCAAAGCGATGAGAAAGGTAAAGCGAACAAACTAATTACGCCGCCGGAAGTACCCGCAAACAAGACTGAAAATAACGATCAGGTCGGCAAAACCCCTCAAAATTCAACGTGTGAGCCAAAAGAGAAGTTAAACACCGAGATTAAATTTTGCGGGAAGGACGAGACATCAAAAACGTCAGAGCTTGATGACACATCGCGTTTGGTTAGCGAGGAGGAGACAGACCAGACGATGCTCACAAGTTTCTCTGAGAATCTTCAGCAAAATACTCCCATCGCCATTGAAATTTCTGACGACGGCACCTGGGGATCAGCCGATCCGAATTCTACCTCTGAAAAAGCGGAGACGGAAAGCTCAGAAAAGTGCGAGGAACTCAAAAGTTCAGACTTCCTAAACGCAAATCTGTCTGCCGAGGACATAAAAATGCAGCATGTATTGTCCGAGTATGGGAACTCCTATTTCATTCAAACCGCCAACAAACCTGTTGAGAAGAAAAGTTCTCAACCAGCTGGCGCCACTAATCATGTTGGGAACAAAGGCAAAGTTAAAAGCTCTGCGCCGGCTCAAAGATGCAGCCTTAGAGACGAGCTCAAACGCTTTGTGAGAGAGTCTGAGATGGCTGCTCAGAGAGCTTTGGAAGCTGAGACGGAACTTCCGAAAGAGCAGCGACCGGAAAAGATTGTTGGATCCGAGGTGACTCCGCAAGAAATTCATAAATTTGAGTCAGGCACGGAAACGGAAGATGCTGAAATTTTGGCAAAGGGAAGGAAGGGCGTTCTTGAAAAGACGATGGTACGCGCTAAGAAGAGGGACAGCTGGATCAAAGGTAATTTAACAAAAATTGAACATCATCGTTAGGTATGCAGTATGTAACCATTTGTATTGTCAAACCCAATCAAAGTAATGACGGTTTGAAATGTGCACTGAGAAATATTTCTGTTTGAATTATTAAAAGAGTTTTTAGAATATTTCTCACAAATTCGAGCTAGTTGTTTAAAAAAAGTCCAACTCGAAGTTACTCTTCAACTAAAACTCTGTTAATTTTTAAAAACTGAAAACAATTGACATTGTTTTTACAACAATTATTGGACTTACGAGCGGTATTCATGAGAGTTGTTTTTGATTTCAATATTTTATAGGTATTGTTTGTGCGCAGCTAAAGAGCGTAGACTTCAGAGACTGTGAACTGCTAAGAGAATTTTCTTTTTCTACGTTTATGGCTTACAAACTGTTAATTTTAAATAAAACTACATTCAGTCTGTCGATATAAAAATGAAAAAAATCACCTGCAGCTTACTTTAGGGGACATTGAAGCATATCCCACGATACGTGTAAAATTTGTGATAAGATTTCTCAACTCAATTTGACAGAAATCGCTGTAACTGCCTTGTGCACCCAAATCCCCTTTTCTGCCGTCTCATGCTATAAAATGCAATATTTGGCATTATGAACAGTAATATTAATGAGGCCGAGAAAATGTTCAATTCCGTCACCATCCGGCGAAAATATCACAGGCGCCATGCGACGTTTAAAATTTTCCGCCTCCATTTTATTTTTTTACCGAGAAATCGTTCAACGAAGCTGTCCGAGAATTTCACTTAATTTTTTTTCTGCTGCCGATAAAATTCAGTGAAATTTTCAAACAGTTTCAACCAATAATTTCTCTGATAAAGAAGAGAAAGGCGGCGGAAATTTTGAAACGTCGCATAGCGCTTGTGATATTTTGGCCGTGACGAATTATCCCCTCAGTAGTATGATCAAGTCAAACTTAACAACACTCGCGAAAAAAATTAGTAATTTCCGTCTCAAATTTTAAAGCTTAATAAGTTTTGGAGCTATCACTAATTTCACTATTCACACAAGTACATACAATTTGACCAAGGCTCCGGTTTAAATTTCTTCTTTTCAAGAAATCTCAGTGACGTCAAGCCAATGCACCGAATATTCTACGCAATTGTTCTCCTGTAGTCTTGATTTCCAGTGAAAGCTAGCGCTCACGTACAAATCCTCATAATTGACACATTTGCGAAAGAAAGGACGTCGTTCTAGTCGATAAACTTTGTGTGCCCGGTCGAGAGCGAAAGGGTGAACTTGTGGGAACCGCATAAGAAGGCTGCAACAAGAAGTGAACTGAGTTCGCGTCAAAACATACACATCAATCATCTACAATGAGCCCTGAAGTCCATAAGAGCGCTCGAGTCCCAGGGTTCATGTTTCAAGAGCGGCCGATCCAAGGAGGATTATTACTTGGCCCATTGTCGGGGCACAATGTAGCAAATTTACCGGATGAAAGAGAGCGATCGTCCGGGACAGGTGATTCCGATGGAGCGATTGCGATATATCGATTGTTATGCCGTTTAAACCTATGGAAAAGGATCGATAAACAGGGTGTTCGCAGCGAACACCTTAATTATCGATTCTTTACCATAGGTTTAAATGGCATAACAATCGATATATCGCAATTCACGCCACGCCACTGATATTTTGAACGGGAACAAGCGTGGATTTTTGAGGTATCGATCGGGTTCGATTCACTCTCACCGGTAGACGGGCTGGCATATTTTTCACGCTCGATTAGCCGACAAGCGCTAATTTAATTTGGCTAACGACGCGACTGCGCTACGTGATGCGGAGCGCTCGCCGCCCACTCGGCGGGGCCGGGGCTTTGTTGGTTATTGATTGGATCTAACCTGGAATCAGATGCAAAATGGAGCACGGCCGCTTTCGTCTTCCGAGTTCCTCACGACCGCGGATCGCTGTCGGTGCAGCGCGGAGTGGCGCCTGGGGTCAAAAAAGGGGTGGGCTAGTTATGGAAAATTCTACACAATCATCTTTTTCTTTTCGTTTTTCCCCCTTTTCCTCGGTATCTTCTTCCTCTTCTTCTTCTTCCTCCTCTTCTTCTTCCTCCTCTCCCTCTTCTTCCTCTTCTTCTTCCTCCTCTTCCTTTTCTTCTTTTTATTCTCCTTTTTCCTTTTCTTTCTTCACTTCCTCCTCTTCTCTTTTTCTACCTCTTATTGTTGTTGTTGTTGTTCTTGTTCTTCTTCTTCTTCTGCTTTTTCTTCTTCTTCTTATTCTGCTTCCTCTTCCTCTTCCTCTTCATCCTCCTCCTCCTTTTCTTCTCCCTCTCCCTCTTCTGCTTCTTCTTCTTCTACCTCTTTTTTTCTTCTTCTTCTGCTTATTCCTCTTCTTCCTCTTCCTTTTTCTCTTCCTCTTCCTTTTTCTCTTCCTCTTCCTCTTCCACCGATGTGATAGTAAAAGTACGCAGTCACGGCAATCAATTAAAAATTTCAAATATTTCCACGCATACTTTATTTTTGAGGAGGCAAACAAATCCGTATTAGAGTAAGTACACCATGACTAGAAATTTTCACGGAATGGCCATGGAGTCATGGAAAATGGCAAGAAAAAATATCAAAAGAAAATTCAGAAGCATAACGTCAAGTGCGAAAAAATTTTGATTCGTTGCAATTAAAATGAATGATTCAGGAGAAATTGTCAGAAACGATTCCGGATAACATATTTTAAGTCTTGTAGAAGAATTCCCATTATCATCACGTTCTATACATGCTTTACATTTTATAATACTGGTGCTTTTTCAAACCAGACCTTGCCACATGTTCGAGAGACAGTTTAATATGAGAAGGAAGAAAGGGGGTAAATCTATAGATAGGTGTATATCAGGCTTGACAATGTCCTCATAGCGAACATGATTACGTATCAATTAAATGAGTATGTGTAACTCGCTAGCAGTAGCCTCAATTAAGGCCCATTAGAATCAATGTGGCTAAGCTACATTCTGGCGAGTGACAAGCTGCAGAATTATTTATGAGAAGCGTCACAATTTGCACGACGAATGCTGCTCGAGAATTTCTATGTGGCAACTTTCATTTCCTGGTGATAGCAGCTCTGATCTCGCACCTGCCCGTTCTATTTGAAATATTTAGATATTCCTCGTCATAATAGCAAATGAAATCAGTTTTAGCATCCTCATCCGAAAAGAGAATAAAATGATGTAATGCAATTGGCCGAAAGATACTCCGACTGAGTCTCATAAAATATTCGAGGGAAAGGGGTACTTGATGCCTTTCATCGTTATTCATTTTTTTTAAATTTTCTCTCTTTTTCGTTCTATTATGGAATCCACCAATGGAACTATACATTAATCAGATTTGGCCTAACATGTCAGCTTGGATCCACCTTAAATTTTCTATCTAGGTCAAAAATATCTGCTCACTTTCCTCGTAAATTTAAGTTTACACCTGAAAAGGACCGTCCTTTCATATTGAAGCAGGAAATCCACAATCTTGATTTTGCGTATGATTTCTAAGTTGAAGTGAGGATAAAACTTTGAAAATGCCTTACTGTTTTTTCGGTCAATCAAAAAGTATGATAGAATCAATAAATCTTGTGGCGACTTAAAAGTTGACAAACTTTACTGAAGTTACTTACTTCACTATACTTGATTTAACGAAGTATCACAATTAGCACCGACGTCAGTCCAACAGTGGAAAAAACAATGAGGAAAAACGGGAAACAAGGCTAAAAATACACAGTCAATATCCAGTAATACGTCAGTCCAACATATAGTTCAAAATACCATACTTTTTTGTTACCATGTTGAAGAGCAAGTGAAAATAATTTCTCTTTTTAAAAGTCTAGAAACTAAATCATGTCCGCAATGGTTGCAGGTGAAGATGTCACTTTAAGCACTGATAAAGAGCGAAGAATCGATGATTGGCTTTCAACTGGGGCGCAGCAGTTAAGCCTGCCCGCCAAACTGCCAGAGGAAATCTACGACCTTGCCATGGATCCTAATCTCTCTCTTTTAATCACAAAAGAAGGTGAGCACTCATTTTTATATGAATCATGTTCTTGCGGACTCAAAATGAGCCTTTCTATGTTTGTCGTTATTCCAAACAGTAGACATGTTGCACTTAATACGGCTTGAAGCCGTCGACGTTCTATGACACAGGACTTTAAAAGGTTCCTTTTAGAGTGATGCCTTCCTAAAAAATTCCGTATGAGTCCTCGGACGACGAAAAATTGCCTTTATGAAAGCACGAATTCCCCGGGAAATCTGTAATAAATTTATTAGCAATTTTTAATCGCGGGAAGTTTGACAGTATCCAAATGTTCATATGGCGTTTTTCCTTCCCATGGGTGCATGACTACATGAGAAATAGCCAGAGATCACTGTATTCTTACAGCTTCTGCAAAAGTCGAACAGTTTCGACTTAGCAAACACATCCGGAAACAAAAGTCTCGAAAAATACACAACAAAGACAATTGCAGCAAGTAGGCAACACCTTTTTTCCTCAATTTAAGTCAATTTAAAATAATCCAGCGAGACTAAGAACCTAGTAAGTTTAGCAAAATTGATTTGGCTGGTTGTCTTTTCTGTCGCTGCGTTCAAGTCTCCGACTTGTTATTTGAGACCTGATCCATTAAGTGTAGCTAAGGTTAAAACTGAAGCATCAAAAATTGGAATACTCATTTCCTTTTCAAATTTTTTAGTGAAACACACTGACTCACTACAGGAATTATGATGTAAGACGAAAAAAATCTCTCAAATCTTCCATAGAAAAGTAGAAAATCATGAGTGTATCGCATGGCATCTTAGATGGGGTGTATCTATCAGTTGCTATTGAAGCAACCAAGTCGGAAAAAACGTTTCCCTACAATTAAATCCATCCTACAAAATCAATTCTAGGCCTTGCAGCCTGCCTTGGTATAATATCGATTGTTATACACGTACATCTTAGCGAATGGACGAAATTTAGTCTTCCTCACTTGCAAGAATCGCCACTGATTAAGTTCTTGGCGATTTTGACAAAAAATAATTTGGCAAACTATTTAAAAGCTCTCAAGTTCGAGCAATACAATAGGGAATTAAATGGTTTTTAAAGAGTCATTTTCCGTGTTCAGAAACATTCTCATAGCAGAGATATGGCTTAATTTGCCTTCAGTCTATCTTCTTGACTGGGGTAAAAATGGCTCTCTTTTCACAAGAGTTCCAACATAAATCGATCAAATCAATTCTGATCTCAACTTAAATCTAAATATATTGAACAGAAGTGTTGGCGCCGCTAGCGTCACCAATATTTAGCCTTCATTCCGTCAGCTAGGCAAGCCACCCGCATCTCATGTCGCGCCGCGCGCCTAGTTCCGCCGCGGCCCGCTCGATCGCGCTGCGGGCTCTTTATTCGCCCCTCCGGCTTTCCTTTAAATATTTAAATTATTTTCTTTATTATTTTGTCTGTTTCAATATGTAAAATTCATCTTTGATTACTTCTTTCCATAAATCCTAAATTATAATACTCACCGGCGCCTTCCTTCACAACCTTTCTTAACTCAAACCACGCGTCCGCGTATTTCCTTTTCAAATCAAGTTTGACCGGCTGGCCCGTGTGCCGTATCTAAATTATGCATCACCTACCACTCTTTGGCAGCGTCTATGGGTATGTTCATTCGCCCCGCATATGTCTTTCATGCGCCCTAACCTTTCTTCCTAAAGCAGTTACGTCTTTTCATTCAACTAAGTGAGTATGTATTCTAAATTCACCTTCTTTACTCTATCTTTTCCAATAATAATCAAGGCGGATAAAGAATGGTGGTCGCATTTCGTACCCTCTGGACGTCACACGGTATCGGGTACATGGGCCGGGGGAGTCGGCTCAACCTCGAATTGCATGGCAAAAGCCGTACCCTCCTGACGTCACAGTGCTTCAAGATGGCAGCCAAAATCGAAATGCGACCACCATTCTTTATCCGCCTTGATAATAATAATTTCATGTCAAATTTCGGCCTTCTGCCAATAAATAATTCCTTTCGGTCTCTAAATTCATTCGCGTTACTCGTGTCCGGACACGATTGCCTGCGGTCCGGGTGCCGCGGATGAATTCTTCCAAATTTCAATAAAGTAAATGTTCGTCTCTCTCTTTAATTAGCTCCCTCGCGCTACTCGTGACCGGTCACGATTGCCTACGGTCCGGGTGCCGTGGACGACCCTTTCGGCTAATCTTTCTAGAAGACCTTCATTAAACTTTCATTGGTCCTGACCGAACCGGATTTGAACTTCAAAATTTTTCAGTTTAAAAAATACAGTCCACTGCTCTCAAAAATTAGCATCAAAAAACGTGTCTCCTTCTTTCAAATATGGCTCCAAGAAAGGCAAAAGTGCAGGAAGAGCAACTCTCTAGAGTAAACGAGATTCTCATTAGGAACTCAGTGCTTTTCAAACGTGTGCTAGACACAAATGCACTATCAGAAAATTTGCCGGGAAAACTCGAGATTTTTCTTGCTCGCTGTGAGCACCTTGAAAGTCTGTGGAAGGAACACGAGGAAAATTTTTCCGAACTCGTCCGTCTCTCTTCTCACATTTCGGAGCAGAAGAGAACTGACTTAAAATCTGAGATGGAACAATTTGAGGAGCTCTTTTACGAAGTGAAAGCCAAGTTCAACTCTCTAAAAAGCTCGTATAATGAAAACTCAAATTCAACTCGTCTCTCATCTCAAAAATCAGCAGCGTCAGTGCGACTTCCAAAAATGGAGTTGCCTCAATTCTCAGGAAAAATTGAGACCTGGAGCTCATTCTTTAACGTTTTTAACGTCACAGTGCANTAAGAGCGCTCGAGTCCCAGGGTTCATGTTTCAAGAGCGGCCGATCCAAGGAGGATTATTACTTGGCCCATTGTCGGGGCACAATGTAGCAAATTTACCGGATGAAAGAGAGCGATCGTCCGGGACAGGTGATTCCGATGGAGCGATTGCGATATATCGATTGTTATGCCGTTTAAACCTATGGAAAAGGATCGATAAACAGGGTGTTCGCAGCGAACACCTTAATTATCGATTCTTTACCATAGGTTTAAATGGCATAACAATCGATATATCGCAATTCACGCCACGCCACTGATATTTTGAACGGGAACAAGCGTGGATTTTTGAGGTATCGATCGGGTTCGATTCACTCTCACCGGTAGACGGGCTGGCATATTTTTCACGCTCGATTAGCCGACAAGCGCTAATTTAATTTGGCTAACGACGCGACTGCGCTACGTGATGCGGAGCGCTCGCCGCCCACTCGGCGGGGCCGGGGCTTTGTTGGTTATTGATTGGATCTAACCTGGAATCAGATGCAAAATGGAGCACGGCCGCTTTCGTCTTCCGAGTTCCTCACGACCGCGGATCGCTGTCGGTGCAGCGCGGAGTGGCGCCTGGGGTCAAAAAAGGGGTGGGCTAGTTATGGAAAATTCTACACAATCATCTTTTTCTTTTCGTTTTTCCCCCTTTTCCTCGGTATCTTCTTCCTCTTCTTCTTCTTCCTCCTCTTCTTCTTCCTCCTCTCCCTCTTCTTCCTCTTCTTCTTCCTCCTCTTCCTTTTCTTCTTTTTATTCTCCTTTTTCCTTTTCTTTCTTCACTTCCTCCTCTTCTCTTTTTCTACCTCTTATTGTTGTTGTTGTTGTTCTTGTTCTTCTTCTTCTTCTGCTTTTTCTTCTTCTTCTTATTCTGCTTCCTCTTCCTCTTCCTCTTCATCCTCCTCCTCCTTTTCTTCTCCCTCTCCCTCTTCTGCTTCTTCTTCTTCTACCTCTTTTTTTCTTCTTCTTCTGCTTATTCCTCTTCTTCCTCTTCCTTTTTCTCTTCCTCTTCCTTTTTCTCTTCCTCTTCCTCTTCCACCGATGTGATAGTAAAAGTACGCAGTCACGGCAATCAATTAAAAATTTCAAATATTTCCACGCATACTTTATTTTTGAGGAGGCAAACAAATCCGTATTAGAGTAAGTACACCATGACTAGAAATTTTCACGGAATGGCCATGGAGTCATGGAAAATGGCAAGAAAAAATATCAAAAGAAAATTCAGAAGCATAACGTCAAGTGCGAAAAAATTTTGATTCGTTGCAATTAAAATGAATGATTCAGGAGAAATTGTCAGAAACGATTCCGGATAACATATTTTAAGTCTTGTAGAAGAATTCCCATTATCATCACGTTCTATACATGCTTTACATTTTATAATACTGGTGCTTTTTCAAACCAGACCTTGCCACATGTTTGAGAGACGGTTTAATGTGAGGAGGAAGAAAGGGGGTAAATCTATAGATAGGTGTAGATCAGGCTTGACAATGTCCTCATAGTGAACATGATTGCGTATCAATTAAATGAGTATGTGTAACTCGCTAGCTGTAGCCTCAATTAAGGCCCATTAGAATCAATGTGGCTAAGCTACATTCTGGCGAGTGACAAGCTGCAGAATTATTTATGAGAAGCGTCACAATTTGCACGACGAATGCTGCTCGAGAATTTCTATGTGGCAACTTTCATTTCCTGGTGATATCAGCTCTGTTCTCGCACCTGCCCGTTCTATTTAAAATATTTAGATATTCCTCGTCGTAATAGCAAATAGAATCAGTTTAAGAATCCTCATTCGAAATCTAGAATAAAATGATGTGATGCAATTGGCCGAAAGAGACCCTGACTAAGTTTCATAAAATGTTCGGGGGAGGGGGGCTGTATTTGATGCCTTTCACCGTAATCATTTTTTTAAATTTCTCAATTTTTCATTCTACTAGAATCTACCAATGGAACTATGTAAATCAGATTTGGCCTAACATGTCGGCTCGGAGCCACCCAACATTTTCTATCGAGGTTAAAAATGTCCCCTCAATTTCCATATTTCAGTTTACTCCTGAAAAGGACCGTCCTTTTATGTTAAGGCAGGAAATCCACAATCTTGAGTTTTGCGTATGATTTCTAACTTGAAGTGGGGATATAACATATATTGGACGTTAAAAGTGCATAGAGTTTTTTGGCGCGGATTGTAACGTGTTAGAAACTGCGACAATCTTCTCTCAAAACGCCATAATTTGCTCAGTTCCAGGTCTTTTTTCAAAACTTTGAGCTCCTATTAACAGCAAGATTTCCTTCGACGCGGAAAAATGTTAACTCATTGATAACACACTGGGGATGGTCAAAAAAGGCTGACAGCCCCTGACTGTTTGTGTACCTCAAAAATGCCTTGCTGTTTTTTCTGTCGATCAAAAAGTATGATGGAATCAATAAATTTTGTGAAGACTTAAAAGATCACAAACTTTACTGAAGTTACTTAGTATGGTTACTTACTTCAGTACACTTGATTTAACAAAGTATCGCAATTGGCGCACCAACGTCAGTCCAGCATATAGTCCATAATACCATACTTTTTTGTTACCATGTATAAGAGCAAGTAAAAATCATGTTTTTTAAAGTCTAGAAACTAAATCATATTTGAAATATTTACAGGTGAAGATGTCACTTTAAGCACTGATAAAGAGCGAAGAATCGACGATTGGCTTTCAACTGGGGCGCAGCAGTTAAGTCTGCCCGCTAAACTACCAGAGGAAATCTACGACCTTGCCATGGATCCTAATATCTCTCTCTTGATCACAAAAGAAGGTGAGCTCTCATTTTTTATGTATGATTGATGTTCACGCGGCCTCAAATTGAGCCTTTCTGTTTATCGTTATTCCAAGCAGTAGACAGCTGCACTCGATACGGCATGAAGCCATCATGCCGACATACTATGACACAGGACTTTAAAAGGTTCCATTTAGAGCAATACTTTCATAACAAATGCCATGTGAGCCTTCGGAAGATGAAAAATTGCCTTTACCTATTAAAATACGAATTTCCCGGAAAATTTGTAATAAAATTCGCAATTTTTTATTGCGGGAAGTTTGACATCATCCAAATGTTCATAAGACGGTTTTCCTTCCCATGAATGCATGACTACATGAGATTTAGCCAGAGATCACTGTGTTCTTACAGCTTCTGCAAAAGTCGAACAGTTTCGATTTAGCAAACACATCCGGAGACAAAAGTCTCGAAAAATACACAACAAAGACAATTGCAGCAAGTAGGTAACACCTTTTTTCCTCGATTTAAGTCAATTTAAAATAATCCAGCGGGACTAAGAACCTAATAAGTTTAGCAAAATAGATTTGGCTGGTTGTCTTTTCTGTCGCTGCGTTCAAGTCTCCGACATGTTCTTTGAGACCTGATCCATTAAGTGTAGCTAAGGTTAAAACTGAAGCATCAACAATTGGAATCCTCGTTTCCTTTTCAAATTTTTTTGTGAAACACACTGACTTACTGCAGAAAGTATGATGTAAGACAAAAAAATCTCTCAAATCTTCCATAAAAAAGTAAAAAATCTTGAGTGTATCGCATGGCATCTTAGATGGGGTGTATCTATTAGTTGCTATTCAAGCAACTAAGTCGAAAACAACGTTTCCTTACAATTAAATCCATTCTACAAAATCAATTCTAGGGCTTGCAGCCTGCCTCGATGAATATCGATTGTTATGCACATAAATTTTAGTGGATGGACGAAACTTAGTGTTCCTTAGTTTCCTTGATTTTTAAAGCGTCATGTTCCGTGTTTAGAAACATTCTCAAAGCAGAGATAGGGCTGAACCTATGTATTGTCTTGACTGGGGTAAAAATGGCTCTCTTTTCACAAGAGTTCCAACTGAAATCGATCAAATCGATTCTGATCTCAATTTAAATCTAAATATATGGAACAGAAGATTCAATTGATTTCGATGAAGTTTCGTGATGGGGAGGTAAATGTAAATGTCATGGGGTAAATGTAAGTCCCAAAATGTTTTGAATATTCAACGTTCGTAAGGACACGACTTAGGCCTCCTCCTGGAAATTGAATGAGAATTGTGCATTTTCAAATCAGTGTACGTGCAACTTGCGTATGGAATCTCGCAGACGAAGAGAGAACGGTATCAGACAATCTCCAAATCTCCCTTTTCTCCAAACGACTGGCCTTGTAAAAGAAAATAATCTTCGAAAGAATCCTTGAGAGAGAGAGGGAGGGCCGGACAAAGCTGTCAGAGAAGGATGAAACATGACTGATCACGTCGGATCATAAAACTTTCTCACTTGAGCCATCCTGTCTCCGCCGATCTGAATTTTTCTCAAAAAATACTTGTTTCGGATTTGAGATGACGTCTGATCCAGTTTTACGGCCTCGGGTGCTATAATGAAAGCTGATTTGTCACTTTCACTCGGCGGCTCGAGTAATAGTCTTAAATAAGATGATTCTCACTTTAAAAAACAAAAACGCGGTCCTCTTTTATGTCATCGGTTACAAGCGCAATAAAAAATTTCGATAAAAAAACTCGCCGAAGTTTTGGACGACATTGCCCTTGACGTCTTAATTATAATTGCTACTTTTAAGTGGACGTTATAAATTGGGGAATTTTTCGGTAAAAGGGCGTATAAGACTTACAATGCTGTTCAGATTGTGCAGCGTAGTTCTCTAGAAGTAAGTGACTTATCTGACAGTTTTGCTTTGAGTTTTTCCTTGAATCTGCTCGGAGTTTTTACTCTTCATTGTTAGGATGTAGGTCGACTTTTAATGAATTTTATCTGCCGCAAACGCTAAACAAATTGCAGAATCTTTGCAGCATTGCAAGTCTCATACGCCCTTTCACCGAAAAATGCCTCTCTTGTATCAACAGGAAATAGATCAAACGTGTCACGAAATCGTTTTTTGTGATAATAAATAATTTAACAAAATCTCATCCTACCAAATGAATATCGGTTGCAGCCAAGGTCGTGTTGCAAGTAAAGAAAATAAAACGAGAATCCAAATATCGGGGGGGAAAAGACTGACGATGATGCTTGCAACAATTCGATATGATAAGAATACCCCCCTCCACCATTGAAAACTATAAGAACGGAATAAAAATAGCTAATAAATAATTATGACTCATATTGAAATCGAATGAAACATTAATGTATGTGTCATTATCGAAAAATTGGGCCATTCTTTAACACAGTAATTTTACTTCTTTTTCAGTATTTTCCTTAATTGAGAGGTTGTTGCCAACCTGAATGATCCCATGGATATTTTGTGTCAATTTGAGACTTATTTAGTCATTTTTAAATTCAATATGTCAAATTTTTGCGTGTTCTTCAATGTATTGTTTTCTCGTCAGTGAAAGTTTAAAGATAATGGATCTCTTGGATCACGCATTTTATTTTTTATTTAAAAGATTTCAGCTTAACGGTCATTGAATTATTAAACTCAGGTACAAATATTTAAAATATAACAATAGTTGATTAAGCATGAAGCATGTAACAGATTGAGAGCAATTCTTGATATTCATAGTAGTTTAATTAATGGTATTTTCGCGCAAAAGTTTTCTGAAAAAGCTCCAAAAGTAGCTGTTAAGCCAAGTTCGCTACTACAAAACATAATCTATCAAGGTCTACTAATTTAATTAATTAATTTATTTATTTATTTGCCACGACGCCCAGTATCTATATAATTGAATCGTAGTGCGAAACCATTATTGTCCTTTTTTTTCAATTTTGAGGTTCTGAGTTTACAATACTTTTCAAAGTTAGATGCAACATGAAAAAGGTGTAAAGCTTCCACCAATAATGGTCCACAATTCCAAGACGGGTCTTTACAGCTTTTTCACGATTGCTCGACACTTCAAAAGTCTTACTCCCAAAAAATTCCAAACTGGTTAAATGGACGCATGGCGGATCATTTTTTAAAACTTCCATTGATTTTTTAAACTTTTTGTCCTGAGGCTGACCATCGAAACCTTCTGTTGTTTCAAGTCATCTAATACACTTGCTATCGTCCCCTTAAAAAACCTTTATAAACTCTCTAAAGGAGGTTTACAAAAATTGAAACTCAAAACTATAGGTCCTCTGGTTCCTCTCAATTGTGTTCGGAGAGTAATAGCTAACGACATTCTCCGCAACAGCGTGTTAAGAATGGCTAGCTGCAGCATATGTTGCTTTCCGCTGAAATGCAGGCGTCTTAATACTGGCTAAACGAACATGAGACGCCGCGCGCGCCTCTACTCACTTCACTATACGATCGACATGCTGCTGCTCCTTTTTCGCCTACAAACAGCAGGTTATACTTACCGCATAACATTCCCGCTGCTTGTCTCGGTCGAGAGTATCTGGCGACTTTGTAGGCGGATTGTCCTCGTTGAAAGATTGGCTTGCTCCTCCTGCTTGTCGCTCTCGCTAACAATAAGTATGAGAACATGGGCATCTTTGATCACAAAATGTCCGGTGTTGTTGTGCATGCGTCCGTGCTTGTTGTGCGATGGTATTCGGCCCCCTTTATATCTATAAGACTCTTCTTGTAAGCTTGTCCTGCAATTTGGCCGCAGTAGTCTGGCCGTGTCTAAATTATCTACAGCGCGAGTAAATATTTTAAAAACTCCATGAAGTACAGGAAATCAATAGTATAAGAATGCATGTTTGAACGTAAAAAATAATTTAATACCTCAATAATCATATATATATATATATATATATAGCCTGTACAAGTAACAAAGTCAATTTAACATTTTAACAATCAATTATTGAATAAAACATATATTCTTCGCGCCTAAAAAATCCCTCGTGGCGTATACAAAAATACTGGAATTTACAAGTATAAGAGGGACCAAAATTTTGGTATCAGGATTTTGATGGTGACATTTTTTTGCCACTTCTCACTTTAAGGAGTCTCAACCATGCTATTCTCACCAAGGATCCTTGTGTCTGATTTAATTCGACAAGGGATGACAATATGATCTGGAGCTGGCCAGTGAAAATTATCAGCAGTGAAACTAGAAAACTCCGCGGCATCGAAATGATCAAAATAAAACTTTAATCGAGATGGCAAAAAGTTCGGCTGTGAAGTATATTCGACACAGCTGAACAAAGTCTGTGCAAATCGCTCAGAATCTNATATATAGCCTGTACAAGTAACAAAGTCAATTTAACATTTTAACAATCAATTATTGAATAAAACATATATTCTTCGCGCCTAAAAAATCCCTCGTGGCGTATACAAAAATACTGGAATTTACAAGTATAAGAGGGACCAAAATTTTGGTATCAGGATTTTGATGGTGACATTTTTTTGCCACTTTTCACTTTAAGGAGTCTCAACCATGCTATTCTCACCAAGGATCCTTGTGTCTGATTTAATTCGACAAGGGATGACAATATGATCTGGAGCTGGCCAGTGAAATTTATCAGCAGTGAAACTAGAAAACTCCGCGGCATCGAAATGATCAAAATAAAACTTTAATCGAGATGGCAAAAAGTTCGGCTGTGAAGTATATTCGACACAGCTGAACAAAGTCTGTGCAAATCGCTCAGAATCTATTTTTATTAACCCAGTTCAGTTAAACAACCCCCTTTTAAATTCCTGAGCCCCCTCCCCTCAGGCTGGGGGGGAAGGGTGTCGAAACCATGAAATTCGGACTCCTCGGGATCCATTCCCTATTCAATTCCACGGTCTCTGACCGCGTGCGGTCTGAATCAACCGATAAAAAAGCCTGGTATGGTACCGATTGTCAGTCTGCGGACGACGAGGGTACTCCCCGCTAATTTGAAAATTGGCGCGTCAATTTGTA